GATAACTTTTTTGATAAAGTAGATTTCTTAAAGATGTATTCTACCAAATACTTACTCTCTTAATATTGTACCTGAGAATAGAAGAAAGAAACAAAGAAAGATTTCAAAGCTGTATTTGAAATGGAATTTATTTTGTTCCCATATTAGAAAGAATCACGTGTTAGCATGATGCATTTACTGAATACAACAACAAAAACAACCCACTGAGTTCTCACAGGTAGGGTTTGGGGAGAGTAGAGTGTATGCAAACCTTATCTTTACTCCGAAGAGTATAGGGAGCCTGTTTTCGAAAGACCATCAGCTCAAAAAGACGAAAAGAGACATTATATTAGTACAATCATAAGAACCATAGGAAATGCATTTACTGAATACGTTTATGAAAAAAGATGTAAAAGTTTGGCTTCACCAACTATGATTTATCTTTAGCCTTGTGAAGAAATATAGAATGGATGTGTCATAGCGAGGGCTCAAGTCAAGTTTTACATGCACCCCCTCTTATGGACTCAGCGTCCTCGTTGAGGTTTTCCCCACCGCATGGGATTCTCCTACACTCAGCACTGAGGTTTGCCCCGCCTAACCGAAATTTACCTAAACTCGGTTGAACTCTGACCCAACATCGGCAAGGCTGACACAAGAGTGGCTCTGATACCATTTGTAACAGACCAGCTCGCTAGTGATATTATCCGCTCTGGGCCTAGGCTCTCACGGGTTTAAAATGTGTCACTAAGGTCTACGTCTTGTTAACTTATATACCCAGCATCCCTCTTGTATTTTTCCGATGTGAGACTCTATCTAATGTCTGGGGTGTTACATACACCCCCTCTTATGGTCTCAGCGTTCTCGCTAAGGTTTTCCCCACCGCATGGGATTCGCCTAGACTCAGCACTGAGGTTTGCCCTGCCTAACTGTGATTTTCCTAAACTTAGTTAAACTTTGACCCACCATCAACATGGCTGACACAAGAGTGGCTCTGATACCATTTGTAGCAGACCAGCCCGCTAGTCATATTATCCGCTCTTGGCCTAGGCTGTAATGACCCGACTTGTCGTTTTGAATATTTACACTCCTTTTAACTATTTGAAGTCTTGAATAGCTTCGTATAATGTATTATAACATGTGAATCATCAGTTTTGGTTTTCAGGTGTTTCAGAATCAGTTCGGAAGAATAAATTTCATGTTTGAAGCTTTAAGTTGAAAGAGTTGACCAAGTTTAACTTTTTAGTATTCGACCTCGGATCGGAGTTTTGATAATTCTGTTAGTTCCGGATGGTGATTTTGGACTTGAACGTATGCCCGGAATTTTATTTGGATATTTCTAGAAGGTTTCGACACCAATTGGCGAAAGTTGGAAACTTGATGGTTTGGAATGTTCATAAGTTTGACCGGAAGTTGACTTTGATGATATCGGGTTCTTTTTGTGGTTCCGAAAATCTCAGTAGCTTCATTACGCAAAATTTGAGTTCATTCCGAGTTGAATTGATATGGTTCGGTAGGAGTTTTGGAAATCGAAAGGGTTAAAAAAATTTAAGTTTGAATTATGGTACGATTCATCGTTTCGATGTTGTTATATGTGATTTGAGGCCTCGAGTAGGTCCGTAATATATTTTAAAAATTGTTTCATGGAATGTCAGTCACTGTTATGAGAAAAATACATTTAGAAATGAGGCTATATAAGCGTATCTACGGATGCACAAACCTCACTTGGTAATATTGCAAGAGTGCGAAACGCACATCAAATGGAAAACTAGCACTAAACATGAAAACTTGGTGTTACTATGGGACAAAGAACGCATCAACTGTGATATATCTTTTAGATATCATAAAGAAAACGTCATAGGGGTTGACAAATATATATCGGCAAATATTCAGTTGGTTAAATATCTATCGGTTAAGTTCAAATTTCATGGAATTTATGGAGATCTAACATTTGCTCTAGATTTATAACCAATAAAATTGACACCACATCCTGAGTCACGTAATAAGTTATATGATACATCATGACCTATGATTGGGGGATGCTAATCTAACCCGCCCATCAGAGAGAAGCATTAGATCTCCAAATACAAAAGAGCATATGAGTAACTTCATCAATTTTACGGCTAGCCCTAGTATGTTAGATTTAGATTTCAGCCCCTTTTACATATGGAGATACCAAATCACCACAAAGATTATCCAAGCTTGATAGGATAATGTGCACTTCGAAATTTTACACTTTATTTGAGCGTGTAACACCAACGATTCTAGGAAGAGACATTTCGGACCATATGCCGATAAAGTTGAGGTTGGCACGCCCATGTAAAGTTGTACAAGTGGAGAAGAAAAAATTGGTATCTGTGTGAGAATTAGGTCCAATTGCAGTTGTGTTGGTTTTGTGAAACTACGAGATTGGCAGTTCGCTTCTCTTCACCCCCCCCCCTCCCCTTATTTTTTTCTGGGCCATGAACAGTGGACTCCTACTAATGCTTTCAATCTTAAATGCAGAATAAGTGCATAAAGTATTTATTTTGTCGAATGCTGCAAATATCTTTTCAGTTTATGTTATTTTGTTACTTTTCATTCATTCCCTTCTTTGATTTAGTTAATGATGCTTGAAACTTTATTAGTTTTAAATGCTTTAATCATGTCTTGTATACGATGACTAATATTTCTCCATCCAAGTATGATTGTATTTGTGTTAATGTGCATCTCTAATTTAAAATAGCAATCTGTAATTACTAGATCACTTTGTTCAAATGACCTTTTGATTGAAATATGATCCTATTTTCTATAAATTGGACTTCAGTGTTGTTGGCATTACCTACTTACCATTAAATACTTGTGCTCTGTAGGATTCACAAGTGGTCAAAATGTTAGAAGCCATATATAAACAGGCCAGCCCATATGTTATTCCACTCTACTATACCCAAGCCCATGTTTGAAGAAGTCATCGTTAAGTTCGGACCAAGCTTATAATTAAGATAATTCTTCATTCAAATTTATAACACACTCTTTTTATTAATAATATAAATATACGAAATAAAGCTTATTTCAAGGACATCCTCGTATAAAATGAAGAGTTTATATTTTGCCCTCTAATTATGTCAGAAGTTGTTACATATCAAGTTAAGTTAACCTCTAACACAAATCATAATTACTTTGATATGATAACTTGTAAAATTGCTCTAAGTGTAATTAAGAAAATTACAACGTGTTATATGTGTAACTTAAGCAACTCTAAATAAAAGGAAATTTGGCACTCTATGGCCAACGGGACAAACATATGGCATGAAATATCCTAACTTATCATTATTGGCATGTTTTAGCCCAATTCGATTATTTTAGTAAAACAATTAGCAAAGTTCAAAATAGTTCATCTTCTTCCTCAGCATTCCTTTACCACGTAATAGTACCACCTCATCAATGCCATTTTTAACACTTCAGCCACCTTCATTCACTAAAACACCATCAGAAATTCATTGAATTCACTGAATTTGGAGAAGATTTTGAAACCCTTAACTATTGATCAAGCTTGAAGCTTTAAGATCTTATAATTTGAAGTTTATGTTCAAGTATTTTATTGATAACACTTGTGTGAAGCTTATACTAAAACTAAAGCTCATTCGAAGAGTGGATTGATTTGAAAACACTTATGGGTTGATTTAAAGAGCTGCTAGACGGAATTTCGAGCTGGACAAACTCGAAAAAGATGAGCTGAAGCGAGGTGTATATATAATTGTGTATATACCCTATATACATGCATGTGTATATCTTCCATGTATATCATATACATTTGAGAAGTGCTGGAAGAGCTTTTCAGTGGCCTTTTTCTCTCACAGGTTAATTTTCTTGATTCTTGTTTTTTGTTCAAGTGAGATCTAAAAGATTTCTTTAGTCCTCTCCTCCTCCTCCTCTTCCTCTCTACTTCTTTTGCCAGAATTATTGGAATGGCCCCAACGGTCACTGCCTGTACAAACCGTCCGCCGTCGATACCCAACGGCAACAGCAGGTAGCTCCNTCAACAACCGCATCTCAACAGGTAAACGCAGGTCCTCCGACCCCTCTTTTCTCCCTCTAGATCTTGTTCTTTTTCGGGACAGGTACGTGGGAGGCAGCACTATTTATCACACTTGTAGCTCCGACATTTTTGCCTCTCCTCATCACCATCTACTCCTCGTTCTCCTCTACTCTCCATCACTACTCTCGAGGCGAGTCGAACGCAGGTGTTTGTATATTCATTTCAATTTTTTACGCTTTTCTCTGCATAAATCTGTAAAATGTTGAGCATTTTCGGTTTTATAACTTTACTAAATATGACGATTTCATCGTTTTAATTTTAATTGTTTTTTAACATACAAAGAGTAACTATAGATATAGCTTAGGGCTTAAGATAAATTTCATCCAAATTAGAATATTAGGGTTCATTCATTGTACATCTTCTGGGCTTATTCGTTTTGTATTTTCTTAACAAAACGGATGTTGGACGTGAACATGCTAGGTGGACGCAACACCATCGTATATACCAAGAAAATTCTAAGGTTCTACTTGCGGTATTTGGTACCTCCCATTTTCCAGTTTTCCTTTGTTGTGTTAGTTAAATTGCTACTATCTTAGTTCATATTAGTTTATTCACCGTATTAGTATGCATGTAGTTACAACTTGTCTTCTTCTGGTTTGGTATGTTGCCTTGTGTGTCATAGTGATTCCCCATACTCTGCCGTAAGTATAGTGGCTGTGGTCTGGGATGGTCGAGTGAGGTCATGTCCTCGGGGGGAATGGGGGGTTGGGCGGGAGNAGGTACATTGACGGGAAAGTATATAGAGTTGGCGAAGATCCTCCAGAAGATGAGGGTCAATATAGCGTGTGTCCAGGAGACAATGTGGGTAGGGTCGAGGGTGAAGGACGCAGACAAGTATAAACTTTGGTACTCAGGAGTCCAGAAAGGTAAGAATGGAGTGGGCATCTTGATGGATAAGGAACTTAGAGAGTCTGTGGTTGAGGTTAGATGAGTGAATGATAGATTGATGATTATTAAATTGGTGGTTGGAGAGTTCACCCTAAACATTATTAGCGCCTATGCGCCGCATGCGGGCCTAGATGAGGAGGTTAAACGGCGATTCTGGGAAAGGTTAGATGAGATTGTGTGCCAGGTTCCTCTTGCTGAGAAGCTATTCATAGGAGGGGATTTCAATGGGCATATTGGGTCGACCACAGGCGGTTATGGTGAGGTGCATGGGGGCTTCGGTTTTTGGGAGAGGAACAGAGGAGGTACATCGCTATTGGACATCGCTAAGGCTTTTGGGTTGGTGATTGCGAACTCTAGCTTTTCGAAGAGGGAGGGGCATTTGGTTACTTTTCAAAATCTGGTGACGAAGACTCAGATTGACTATCGCATCCTCAGGAGGTGTGACATAGGGTTGTACAAGTATTGCAAGGTGATTCTGGGTGAGTTACTCGCGACGCAGCATAGGCTCATGATGATGGACGTTGGTATTATGTTAAAGAGGAAGAAAAGGTCTACTCGAGGAAGACCGAGAATCAGGTGGGGAGCCTTAACTAAGGATAAATCCCAAGAGTTGGAGAGGCGGTTGTCGGCTATGGGAGCTTGGAGGAGCAGTGGTGACGCGAGCACTATGTGGTCAGCAACAGCAGACTGTATTAGGGAGGCTGCGAGGGAGGTGTTAGGGGTCTCGACGAGCGTCTCTGGTAGGCACAAAGGAGACTGGCGGTGGAATGAAGTGGTCCAAGGTAAAGTGGAAGCAAAGAAGGCGGCGTGCCTAAAGTTAGTGGGGAGCATAGGTGAGAAGGAGAGGCGAGCGTGTATGGAGAGGTATAAGGTATCTAGGAAGGAGGCTAAGCTAGCGGTCACAGAGGCTAAGACTGCAGCTTATGGTCGTATGTACGAGGAACTGGGGAAAAAAGCGGGGATAAGAAGTTATTCTGGCTGGCCAAGTTGAGAGAGAGGAAGGCTCGGGATTTGGACCAAGTGAAATACATCAAAGACGAAGATGGTAGATTAGAGATGGAAGATGCCCAGATTAAGAGGAGATGGCGGACTTACTTTCATAAACTTCTGAATGAAGAAGGGGATCGGGATATTGTGCTAGGCGAATTGGAGCATTCCGAGAGTCACCGTGACTTTGGGTACTGCAGGCATATTGAGGTTGAGGAGGTCGTGGGAGCTATGCGTAATATGAGTAGGCGCAGAGCGACCGGGCGAGAAGAGATTTCGGTGGAATTTTGGAAGTGTGTGGGGAGTAGGTTTGGAGTGGTTGACTAGGTTTTTTAATGTTATTTGAGGATGCCGGATGAGTAGAGGTGGAGTACGGTGGCTCCATTGTATAAGAACAAAGGTGATATCCAGAGTTGTAACAATTATAGGGGTATCAAATTACTGAGTCATACCATGAAAGTGTGGGAGAGGGTGGTTGAAGCGAGGGTGAGGATGACAGTGTCTGTATCCGACAACCAGTTCGGGTTCATGCCGGGTCGTTCGACTACAGAAGCTATACACCTTGTTAGGAGGTTAGTGGAACTGTACAGAGAGAGGAAGAGGGATCTTCACATGGTGTTTATTGACCTAGAGAAAGCGTATGACAAGGTTCCTAGAGAAGTTCTCTGGAGATGCCTGGAGGTAAAAGGTGTGTTGGTTTCCTACATTATGGCGATTAAGGACATGTATGATGGGGCTAAGACTCGGGTTAAGACAGTAGGAGGCGACTCTGAGGATTTTCTAGTTGTAATTTGGTTACACAAAGGTTCTGCGCTCAGTCCGTTCTTATTCGCCCTGGTGATGGATGCGTTAACACACCATATTCAAGGGAAGGTGCCATGGTGCATGCTATTCACCGATGACATAGTTCTGATTGATGAGTCGCGAGCCGGTGTTAACGAGAGGCTGGAGGTTTGGAGATAGGCTCTTGAGTCTAAGGGTTTCAAGCTGAGCAGGACGAAGACGAAATACCTGGAGTGTAAGTTCAGCGCTGAGCCGGGGGAAGTGGGCATGGGTGTGAGGCTTGAATCACAGGTCATCACGAGTAGAGACAGCTTCAAGTACCTTGGTTCGGTTATTCAGGGGGGAGGGGAGATCACCGAGGATGTCACACACCATATTGGGGTAGGATGGATGAAGTGGAGGTTAGCATCTGGAGTCTTGTATGACAAGAGAGTGCCACCGATACTCAAAGGTAAGTTCTATAAAGCAGTGGTTAGACTGTCCATGATGTATGGGGCTGAGTGTTGGCCCGTTAAGAACTCACATATCCAGAAGATGAAAGTAGCATAAATGAGGATGTTGAGGTGGATGTGCGAGCACACTAGGATAGATAAGATTAGGAATAATGATATTCGGGAGAAGGTGCACGTGGCTCCCATTGATGACAAGATATAGGAAGCGAGGCTTAGATGGGTCGTACATGTTCAGAGGAGAAATCCAGATGCTCCGGTATGAAGTGTGAGCGGCTGGTTGTGGAGGGAACGAGAAGAGGTAGAGGGCGACCTAAGATTTATTGGGGAGAGGTGATCAGGCAGGATATGGTGTGGCTCCAGATTTTCGAGGACATAAAACTTGATAGGAAGATGTGGAGGTCGAGTATTAGGGTTGTAGGTTAGGAGATAGTTAAGTCTTGCCTTACTTCGTACCATTGTGGGACTAGCCAGGTAGGGTTTTTGTCTAAGATAGCTAGTGCAATGTTGTGTCTTATTATTTTGCTTTTCAGTGCAGGACCTATTTTCTATCATTTATCTTCACAAGCTGCAATAAAATGTCAAAGAATCGTGTAATTGTTATTATTAAGCACGATTTATGCTGAGGTCGTACGTCCTGATCCATAGTGACATGTACACTGCCGAGGGACGTGCGGCATGATCCATAGATGCATCTATCTACTGCCGAGGTGTTCGGCCTGCTCCACAAGAAGAGAAGGATATTTTGTAAGCATTTGACTTAAACAATTATTAATGATTTATATCCAAGGTAATATAAATTTCATTAACTACCTTTCAAAATTTCCTTAACAAGTTCTAATATAATTTAGGCATTTTAATTTAACAAGTATAGTTTAAAATTCCAAATAGTTCATGAATTGGGTCCTAAAACTACCCGAACAATAGCATAATAGTAGCTACGCACGGACTCTCGTCACCTCGTACGTACATAGCCCCCACAATTAGAAATAAATATTTATTTACAACACCTATGGGGTAAATTCCCTCTTACAAGGTTAGACAAGAGACTTACCTCGTCTCAAAGCTCACTTCCCGATCACAATTTCGTGTTAAAGCCTCAAATTGGTGTCGAAAAGTCCGGAACTAGCCAAATGTTATATAATTTAATCAATACATGCTCAATAATTCGAAATTAAATTATTAGATTAATTAACCAANATCACAATTTCGCATTAAAGCCTCAATTTGGTGACGAAAAATCTGAAACTAGACAAATGTTATAGAATTTAATCAATACATGCTCCATAACTCGAAATTAAATTATTGGATTAATTAACCAACCTAAATTGGTAAAATTCCTAAAATTCACCCCGGGCCCACTAGCCTGGATTCCGGATATTTTTGGAGGAAATCGTCACCCATAACCTTAAGAACTCAAATATACAATTTGCATCCCATTCTATAACCATTTTCGTGGTTAAAATCTCATTTTTATCAAAACCTAGGTTTTCATCTAAACCCTTGATTTTCACAATTTACATGTCATAATCTACCCATAGTCTATGTATTTAATTCACAATAGGTAGAATTAACTTACCTCCAAGTTTCTAGGTGAATACCCCTCTCAAGAAACTCCAAAATCGCCCAAGAATGAAGAAAATGGGCTCAAAAATGGTTGAGCCCCATTTTTAAGACATTCTGCCAAGCAATGTTTCGCTTCAGCGGCTCGTCAACCGCATCTACGGCTACGCATCTACGGAAAGGACCTCATAGATGCGGTCCTCCCCCTTAGCCGGCTCATCCGCTTCTGCGAGACCGCTCCTGCAGTGCATGTGTCGCACCTGTGACCTCGTCTGCTCCTGCGATGCCCTTCTTCGCATCTGCGCCTTCGCAGGTGCGGTCAATTTCTCCGCTTCTGTGGTCACTGGGAAGGCCCCCTCTAGGCCGCTTCTACGGCTTGTGGCTCGCCTATGCAAGCTCGCACCTATGGCTGGCCAAGTGCAGGTGCGATTGCAGCAGAAGCTGGAAGCTTCAACTACTACTCCTAAGTCGAAACTTGGTCCGAGCCTCGTCCGGTTAACACCCGAGGCCCCCGGGGCCCCGCCCGAACATACCAACAAGTTGGAAATCATAAAACGGACTCGCTCGAACCCTCAGAATGCATAAAACAACATCAAAGCTAAGAATCATACCTCAAACCAAATTGATTCAACTTAGAAATTTTAAATTCTTTAAACTTACTCCCAACGCGCCGAAACATACTTAGACTACTCGAAATGATACCAAATTTTGCGTGCAAATCATAAATCACTATACGGAACTACTCTAAGGCTCGAAATTCCAAACGGACCTCAATTACTCCAAAGCCTACTTCAAACCAAATTTAAAGAACCTTAAAACCTTCAAATAGATAACTTTTACTATTAAGCGCTGAAACGCTCCTGGGTTGTCCAAAACCTGATTCGAACATACGCCCAAGTCCAAAATCATCAAGCGAACCTATTGGAACCGTTAAATCCTGATGTCGGGGACATTTTATCAAAATATTGACCGAAGTCAAACTTAACCTTTTTAAAGCCAACTAAGGAACCAAGTGTTACTATTTTAACTCGAACCCTTCCAAATCCCGAACTAACCACCCCGCAAGTCGTAAAACCGTAAAAGAACATATGGATAATCTTATTTAGGTGAACGGGATTCTAGAAGGTAAAACGACCCAACCCTTCCCCCCCCCCTCCCGATCCTTTCTTTTTTGGGTAGTGGGAGATGGGAATTTACTTACTATGTAAACAACATGCATTTATCAAGGTTAGGTATTTTGACTTGTAGTCCTCCTTGCTTTAACTCTGACATAATGAGAAAGAATCTGGTGTAAGGTTATAAATGATAAAAATGGTGAGTGCCCTGATCCTCGGTTCTCGAAGGGTCAGACATTTCCCACGCAGAGATGCATGCTCGATTATTTCTTTCTTCATGCCGACTTCTATATTGAAAATATTTGGTAGTTGGGAAACTAAAATAAGATGATTGTGATAGTAGCAAACTTGTTGTTGTATGTGAAAGAAAGAAAAGTAGACAAAACAAAAGAAAGAAAATCAAAAAGAGATGAACTTATGATGTAAGCGCTTACATCGACATTCTTATAATGTATGCGATTACATCGGCATTCGTATGATGTAAGCGCTTACATCGGCATTCCTATGATGTAAGCGCTTACCTCGGAAGGGCATTCAAATGCCTATAAAAGGGGTATGCATTTTCATTTGCAAATCATCCCTCAACTTCTTCTTTCTCTCTTCAATTAATAAAGAGCTATTCTTTGTGTGGCCGTGGAGTAGGCAAAATTATCGAACCACCTAAATCTTATCTTGTCTTGTCTTGTGCAATTTATTACTTCTCTTTCAAATATTTTTCCTTCTATTAGCCTGACACGTTTCCCAACTACTGGTATCAGAGCACAAACAGTGTAATTCTGGTAGAAAAGTATGGTACTGGTGCAGGTACTATTCACAAGAATAGTGTGACACTATTGATCATCGTTACTATTTAGAGGAACTATTCACATAAATTTGTTTTTGTGAAAAATGGCATCGGAAGAAGGGAAAGTTAAGATTGACAAGTTCAATGGCAAAGATTTTGAATTCTGAAAAATGCAAATAGAGGATTATTTGTACCAGAAAAAATTACACTTACCTCTGACCGAGGTAAAATCAGAGACTATGGCCAAAGAGGATTGGGATCTATTAGATCTCCAAGCTCTTGGTGTGATTCGTTTGACGCTAACACAAAATGTGGCATTCAACATCATTAACGAGAAGACCACTGCAGGCCTGATGAAGGCATTATCAAATATGTACGAGAAGCCATCTGTTTCAAATAAAGTCTATTTGATGTGTCGATTGTTCAACTTAAAGATGACAGAAGGTGGATCTATCACATAACATATCAATGTGTTTAATGTAATATTAACTCAGTTGAGTTCTGTCAATATAACATTCGATGACGAAGTCAGGACATTGATTCTACTACCATCTCTACCGGAGAGTTGGTCTGCAACAGTAACTGCAGTTAGCAGTTCATCGGGAAGTACCAAACTCAAATTGGATAATATTAGAGACTTGGTTCTAAGCGAAGATGCTCGCCGGAGAGAATCAAGTGATTCCCCAGGATCTGCTTTGAATACCGAAAGCAGGGGAGAAACAGCCAAAGAGGGCAAAGTCATGGTCGTGGCAGATCAAAGTTAAGGAGAAGAGGGCAATTCAAAAATCGCAAAGACATTATGTGTTGGAATTGCGATAAAAAAGGCCACTACATTAGTCAGTGTAGAGAGCCAAAGAAGAAGAAGAACGATCAATACAAGGATGATAATTCAGCAAATGCAATTGCTGAACAAGTCGGTGATGCACTAATTTGTTGTGCATATAGTCCAGTCGAATCTTGGATTCTCGACTCAGGTGCATCCTTTCACTCTACATCATGCAAATAATTATTGCATAATTATATTGCTTTAAAATTTGGGAAATATTATCTAGCAGACGGCGAACCTATGGACATTGTAGGGAAAGGTGAAGTTTATATAAAGACTTCACAAGGCACGCTATGGAAATTGCAAAATGTCCGACATGTTCCTGGCCTCAAGAAAAATCTGATATTTATGGGTCAGATTGACAGTGAAGGATATACAACAACATTCGGTAACGGATCGTGGAAGATAACCAAAGGAAATTTGGTTGTGGCATGAGGCTTCAAGAAGGGAACACTGTATGCAACTGCAATACAGCGAGATACTATAGCAACGGTTGATCATGGTCGTGATACAACATTGTGGCATCGGAGGCTCGGGCATATGAGTGAGAAGGGAATGAAGTTGTTGGCATCCAAAGAAAAGTTGCCAAACCTAAAGCATGTTGAATTAGGTTTGTGCGGAGATTGCATTTACGATAAACAAAAGAGAGTAGGTTTCTCAAAGGTGGGAAGGACGCCAAAGAAAGAGAAGTTGGAACTAGTGCATATAGATGTGTGGGGACCAGCACCTGTAACTTCTCTGGGAGGCTCATGCTATTATGTCACCTTCATTGATGATTCCACAAGAAAGGTATGGGTTTATTTTCTGAAAAATAAATTTGATGTGTTTGTTACCTTTAAAAGATGGAAAGCAAAAGTTGAAAATTAGACAAGTCTAAAGTTAAAATGTCTGAAGTCTGACAATGGAAGAGAGTATGATAGTCAATAGTTTAAAGCATTCTGCTCTGAGAATGGGATCAGAATGATCATGACAGTTCCTGCAACACCGGAACAAAATGGTGTTGCTGAGAGGATGAACAGAACCCTGAATGAACGAGCCAGAAGTATGAGAATACATTTTGGATTGCCGAAATGTTTTTGAGCTGAAGCTGTTAACACGGCAGCTTACCTCATAAACAGGGGACCCTCTGTACAGCTGGATTTTGAAATTCCTGAGGAGGTATGGACAGGAAAAGAGGTAACTCTCTCACATCTGAAAATTTGTGGTTGTGTTGCTTATGTGCATGTAAACTATAATGATAGAGATAAGATTCATCCTAAGGCCAAGAAATGTTTCTTTATTGGCTATGGTGATGATAATTTTGGTTATCGATTTTGGGATGATTAGAATAAAAAGATCCTAAGACATATGAATGTCACATTTAATGAAAATGTGATGTACAAAGACAAGCTTGAAGTAGAACCAACCAGCACCAGTAGACAGACATCTGAAATAGTTGAGTTAGAAGAAATCTCATAAAATGAAGTGGCTAGAGAGCCTACAACTAGATCTAAAATTGAAGATGTCAAACCAGAAGCCGAATCTGGATCAGAATCAGAACCAGAACCAGAGATAGAATTAGATGGAGAACTAGATCTGGAGTCGGGACTTGAATCAAATTCGGGATCAGTTAATCCTGAACCTACATTAAGGAGATCTAAAAGAGTCACGAATGCTCCAGATAGGTTAACTCTCTCTCTCTCTCTCCACTATTTACTTTTGACCGATGCTGGAGAACAAGAGCATTTTGTTGAAGCAATGCAGGTGATAAGCTCTGATAAGTGGAAGCTAGCCATGAAATAAGAGATGAATTCTCTTCAAAAGAATAAAACATGGATACTTATAGAGTTACCAAAAGGAAATAAGGCATTGCAAAACAAGTGGGTGTACAGGGTCAAGGAAGAGCATGATGGTAAGAAAAGATACAAAGCACGATTAGTAGTAAAAGGCTTTTAGCAGAGGAAGGGATTGACTACACCGAGATCTTCTCTCCTTTAGTCAAATTAACTACTATCAGGTTGGTGTTAAGAATTGTAGTTGCAAAAAAATTGCATTTGGAGCAGTTAGATGTTAAAACTGCTTTCTTGCATGGTGACCTTGAAGAAGACATCTGCATGAAGCAACCTGAAGGTTTTCAAGTTTCTGGTAAAGAAAACCTTGTGTGTAAGTTGCAGAAGAGTTTGTATGGTATGAAACAAGCACCCCGACAATGGTACAAGAAATTTGATGGATTCATGCATAATAATGGTTTGACACGATGTGAGATGGACCATTGCTATTATATCAAAAATCTTGATAAATCCTATATCATCTTACTATTGTACGTTGATGACATGCTAATTGCAGGATCTAGCATAAATGAGATCAACAGGGTTAAGCAACAACTGGCGGAGGAGTTTGAAATGAAAGACTTAGGACCAACTAAGCAAATGCTTGGGATGAGGATTAGCAGAAACATGTCTGAAGGAACCTTAAAATTGTCTCAAGAAAAGTACATACAGAAGGTACTAAGCAGGTTCAGTCTTCATGATGCAAAGACCATAAGCACTCCACTCGGAATCCATCTTAATATGTCGAAGGACCAATCACCTAAGACATAAGAAGAAAGGAAGTACATGTCCAAAGTTCCATATGCTTCAGCAGTAGGAAGTGTGATGTATGATATGGTTTGCACTAGACCTGACATAGCCCATGCAGTTGGAGTTGTTAGTAGATACATGTCAAATCCAGGAAAGGAGTATTGGGAAGGTGTAAAATGGATATTGCGATATCTCAAAGGCACCTTAGGTATGGCACTTTGTTTTAAAAGGAGCAATATTATCTTACAAGATTTTGCTGATGCAAATTTAGGCGGCGATCTGGATAGTCAAAAAAGTACCACAGGCTACGTATTCACCTTGGGTGGTACTACTGTTAGCTGGATGTCTAGACTTCAGAAAAGTGTTGCTCTATCTACCACTGAAGTAGAGTACATGGCAATCTCAGAAGTTAGAAAAGAGATGATTTGGCTCAAGAATTTTCTTAAAGAGTTAGGTAAAGAGCAAGACAATTGTGAGCTTTTCAGCAATAGCCATAGTGCAATTCATCTTGACAAGAATCCAGTGTTTCATGCAAGATCGAAGCATATCCAGTTGAGGTATCATCATATCCGAGAGTTGATAAGTGAAGAAACCTTTTCCCTACAGAAGATACCAGGATCAAAGAACCCGTCAGATATGCTGACCAAAGTTGTTGGTGTGGACAAATCGAGGTTGTGCACTGCCTCAGTTAGCCTTGAAGACTGATAGGGTGAAAGTACCTCCAGAGAATAATAAATCTTTATTTTAATTTCTTTCTTGATGTAACATAGGTTTGAGGGGGAGATTGATAGTAGCAAACATGTTGTTCTATGTGAAAGAAAGAAAAGTAGACAAAACAAAAGAAATAAAATCAAAAAGAGATGAACTTATGATGTAAGTGCTTACATCGGCATTCTTATGATGTATGCGCTTACATCGGCATTCCTATGATGTAAGCGCTTACCTCGGCAGGGTATTCTTTCTCTCTTCAATTAATAAATAGTTATTCTTTGTGTGGCCGTGGAGTAGGCAAAATTGCCGAACCACGTAAATCTTGTCTTGTCTTGTGCAATTTATTGCTTTTCTATTTCAAATATTTTTCCTTCTATTAGCCTGACATGTTTCTATCACGACCCAATTTAGGATCATGACTGACACTTAGGAGCAAGTGCCTCCAGTAAGCCTCATCGGTATTTTACAGAAAATCGGACAGAGTTTTCCTTATTTTTGGACTATCCCAAAAATTTCTCTATCTCAAATCAACAACCAACATCCTAATATCAATTGAAACAACAATAACTTTATCAATTAACCAAAATAAATATCTACCATTAATAGTCCACCCACTAACAGCTAGAAATATTAATTTATCTTCAACTTTGATAAGAATGAGCGATACTCAACATAAGTCTATAATAACAAAATAATACTCATGACACTAAAAGAATGACTATGGAGTGACTCTAAGAGTTCAAAGAAAAGACCATAACAATAAATAAAATCTCCGCCCACGCGAACAAGTGCGAGGCTCACCAAGAACTATCAACTTGTGCGCTCTAATTAATGAAATCCTCGCTCGCGTCAACTGATGTCTCTGTAAAAATAAATTAGTGGGGAATGAGTCGCTAGCTCAGTGAGTAATAATACTTAACCATAATTGTTTTATTGGGGACAAGTCAGAAAACATGCTAGTATACATATTAAACA